CTCTAGGAAAAGATAAAAAAGAGCTCCCTGGAAAAAGTGGGTATTCCTTTCATTAATGACCATGAACTAGAGAATGTGGCCATTCACTATAAAAGAGCCTTAATTGACTGACAGGTGGACCTCCCAGAAAGGAAGATGCTTTTCTGGAGTCCATTCTTTTAAGCAGGTAATATCTTCAAAGTAAGTTTTTAAACGTAAATATTCCACATCAGGTCTACAGCAGCTGAAGAATAAAGGAAATGGCTTGGACTATGCATTGTTCAGCTTTGTTTTCTACCCCTTATATTCTGAGGCAGCTGTAACATCTGATCTTAGGCTGCGGGAGCCTCTGTTTCAGTTACAAGACAGGCTTTCATTCATAGGACTTTTCAGCACAACCAAAGAAAGACAAATGGCAGCACTGGCTGAAATGTTGTCTTTTGGATTTAAAATTAAAGGAACCAGAAGCAGTTTTAAATATGACTATCTGTGCCTAAAATAAATGCTCAGATTGCCCACTTGTGGCAAAGTTATTAATGAGTTAATATTTACCTCCAAAATGTTACCTTCCAGCCCTCTGCTTTTGGGAGCCAGGGAGTGACATTCATGGAAAACCATCTCCCTCCCCCCCCCTCACCTCAGGAAAAATGGCCGCTATGTTGTGCCGACGATCAGCTGATCCGGCACAGCGTTGCAGTCTAGATGCGGTGCGGTCAGCAAAGACTTCCTTATCGTCGGTACAGCGTGGCGGCCATTTTTATTTTAATGAAGGGGGGATTATTTAAATCCCTGCTTCTTTGACTACGCTGAATAAACTATTTTACATGGCTCAGTCAACAGAGCCATGTAGTCTAGACGTAGCCTCAGTGTTGTTTTAAGGATATCAGATTGCTTTGGTGAGTGAAAATCTGACCAGCTCCCAGACCAATTCTAGTAACGATCCTATTAATCTCTAAAATACTGAAACTGCCTAGTTGCATTGTGAGCTCATTCAAGGAACATCACCCATAACCAGGGATGATCAGTCTCTATTGTCTCACCTCTTTCTCTTTGAACTATCCCTATAAAAAAGCCTATCCTTGCCCCAAGAAAAACTGTTCTGATACCTGGACTTAAACTGCATCAGTTCCATAGAGACTTCTTCATCTCCTGTCTGATCGTGCTGGGGGCTCTGTTCTGCTTTTCTCCTGCCCTCTGGACCCCCGGCTACCATCATCATCTGGGAACCCCGATCAGTGCAAGCTCCGTGGAGTGGTGAGGTCTCTCTCTCTCTCTCCCATCAACTATCTCTCTAAGCATAGCCTCCTGACCCTGCCCTATGTAAACTGTTATATGGTTACCTAACATTTGTAATCAGTTTCAATTTAGATTTAATATTGTAATTGTTAGATTTAATATTGTAACTGTTGGATATCTATTCACTACTCAGAAATAAATCACTTTCATTGTTAAGCTGGTTGCTTCTCTCTCTTTCTTTCTCTTTTGCTCACTCTTCCTTAAAGGGTGTTGTTTTGGCTTCCCCATTCGCTCTGCAACAACGCTTCTTGTACCCAAGCTAAAGATTCCTGTAGTGAGCAAAATCCTGTGGGGTTTGCTCATCGTGTGGTTTACCAGTGAATGACTGTGGTGTGAAAGTGGGGATAGGAGGTGCTGAGCCTGGAGGCTTATGAGGATGGCAGCTTAAAGTGCTGTTTAATCCAGCCCACAGAGTCCAAAGGCACATGAAGGTGCAGTGTGGCATTGCTGTGAAATCCAGCCAGCTGAGTCCAGGGACATATGAGGGTTGAGTGCTGAGTACCCAGTCCTCTCAGACGTGCTCTGATTAGTGGACCTAGTTTAGGACCTAGTTCCTGCAGGAGAGCTCCAGTGAGAGGGGGAATTGGCAGCAGGGAGAATTCAGCTCCATATGAGAGCACAGGTAAGCACAAACAGCACATGGATAGAATTGTTAACCTTCCCCCAGTCCCATAAGAGTAACCCTTATAAATGAGCATACCCCAGAGTATTGGGCAAATCTAGTAACAAATACCACAGCAAGATAAATGGGCCAGTGTCTGCTCACAGTTATGAGGGTACTAAGGGCTCTGTTGACTGACAGGTAACTATGTTACCTAGCATGGTAAACCAGGCATATTTGACTTTTGAAAAGTCATGTGAGTCTCCTAAGACTGCATTTAAACCCACCTACTCTGGTATTATCTTTTTCAATATATAGAGAGGAGTCATACTTTTAGTCTGAGTAATTTTATTCTAGATTAATGGAAACAACAAGAATGACCAATGTTTGCATGTCCTCAGTAACATGCTGCTTCAAACTTGCCCTGCAAAATAAGCAGAATTCTAGGGATTTAAAGGTGTGGTAATCATACTGATATGCCACATCTGCAGGCTGGCACAGTGAGGTACTGAGTACCCTCGACCCCCATTGTTATTATATGGGTTGAAGTGCTCAGCACCTGACATGAGGATCTCAGCACCTTACTGAATTGAGTCTGTAAGACTCTGTCTTTTAAATTAAAAAGGATCTAATTTCTCAAATTCCTCGGTAAATACTCTTCTCTCTTAGCTTAATCACATATAAAGGAGAAAACTAAAGAGTCAAGAGAAGAAGAAAATGACCTTAGGTTCAATGCATTTAAGAATGGTTTCTAAAATGAAAGCAGCATCGTAAAACAAAGATCACTCTAAGCTTTGTTGTCAAGACAACCCAAGGAGTGTTTGTGAACAGCGAAATGATTCCAAAATTGCAAAGATGAATTAATTCCTTGTCATTTCTAGAAGCACTTTGGGCAACCTTTTTCGTGTGTGGTAATAGTAGCTAGCAAAATGTACACACTGTCAAATGAGCTTTCCTCCTCAAAAAAACCCAGCAAAGCGCTCCCTTTTACTGAACCTTTCCCCAAAACAGGGGAGCACTCTGCTGTAGATTCAGCAAATTTTATGTCACTTTTGACTGAGAGATAGCTCTGACCCACAAAACTTGATGCTCAACACACATACCAGAATATATCCTGAAATTCCTTTTTGGTGCATGATTGATGCAGATCTCTCTCTCAATCTCTCTCTTATTTTGGACTTAGACTCCTACATATAGAGACCTATAAATTCGGTGATGCCTCCAACAAGATACGTACATTAAAAAATGTGACTGGGAGAATATGTCAACTGAATACTAGTCCTGGGGTGCATGGATTCATGAGGAAATTAGTCTAGGGGCTCTAAGCTCTGTAATTATTGCTATATGAGCTATTTCTGAAGTTTGCAATGATTTTTGCATATGTTGCATATATTACCTCTTGTCATTCATTTAAATTTAATGAATTTAATGAATGACTGCCTCTGTCTTTCTCCAGTAGAACATAAATGTCCTAGAGATGGCTCTTGGGAACTTTTATTAAAATGTTGCCACCAAATTGAAAGGATTCAACCCCTCTGTTGATATTGCTGCCAGCGACTTTTACTTCTTGAGATTCTGCTGAAGATTAAAAAAAAATCCAAACAAGCAACTCTTGCGATGAATTTGATTCCACCTCATGTAAGTCTGTTCTAAGTATATTAGAGTAAGATATGTCCCCCACCTCCTCCCACACCATTTTAAGTTACACAAATCTAACACAGCTGAACTGTCAATACATTGAGTATGAGCCTGAAAACCTGTGCTCAGTTGTATGTTTCTTACTTAGGCTACTGATTACTCTATATTCCCTTGAGTAAAGCTTTCTCATTTGAGTAAGGGTTTGACATTCATATCCTATTTCAGGTACAGTCACTTCCAATAAGTGCAATCTATAAATGTATTTGTCTGGTGGTGCTGCCCTTTGCCCCTTTTCCCTTGGATTCAGAGTTTCTCAGGTCTTGCACCCCACGCTGCAAAGACATGAGTTTGCAAGTCGAGTTTATCAGCGGCAGAGAGAGGACATTTTTATAGAAGTCCCTTTGTTAAATTGGCATTTGCTATCAGAAAGAGACATGGGAGAACTTCTTAATTTTGTGCACAGGGAGATGCTAATGGACCAAAAACAAATCTGTGACTTACCCAACTTTATTGCTAATTACATTGACTGGGCACTAAAGCCATTTCTCCCACCACCTGTGACTTTTGTGCTTCTTTTGTAGTGAACAGATTCTATATAAAGCAACTAAAGGTCCTTATGTGTGTGTGTGAGGGGAGAACATGACATGAGGACTCAATAAGTTTTCACAGCATTTTAAATAAGTTACAAGACAATGTGTAGGGTGAAGGTGCAATATAATGGAATACACAATTATTTCCCCCCAGGATATGAAGTAATCAGCCACTTCTGTTCTGCTTTTTCATTGTGCCAGTGAGCTCGTGCAAATTTAATCCAGGCACTTAGAGAGAGAGGAATATTTTTTTCAGACTGAGAAATCAATAACTGAGACTTCTCTGTAGGACTTTGTGCATAGTGAGAAAATCAATAACTTTCTTAATCTTTGTAAACCACCACACAATACATTGCAAATGCTTTTTTGAGTATTTCAACATACCTACCACAATAATTTGGCTTGTGCTTTGCTCAGTCGCAATGGTTACAAGCACTGAGCAATCTGACTCAGCCTATAGCAACAGCTTAATACCAATGATACACACATCTGATCGTGCTTGAAATTCTGTTATGCCACATTGCATTTTGATGAGAGTTGTAGCAGCAGCACAAGCAAAGTATAGCTACAGTCAGAAAAATGACTCTCTAAATGGCAGAGTCTGACTAAACTGAATTGCTGCTGTCTGTCTTTAATGTAACTTAAATGGTTAAAATCAATTTTTATTCATTCTGGCACTACAGAGACCAATCGGGCGAGCACTCTGGATTCACTGTATTGCTGGATGCCAGATCCCCAGTGATCAACAGCAACTCTACTCTGTTGGCCAACAAGTTGGAGCAGCGGCTTATAAAGAGTCATCTCTGCCAAAACTAGGGATCCGAGTAGCTAATTTGTGGATCAGATGCAAGTTGAATTTTAATGTCAGCAACAATGGGAAATAACTTGATGTTCACCTTGCACTGAAATTCTTCTCCTTGCTTCACATTCTGGGGATACCCATCAATCAGAAATCCCTTTGTGTCTCCTAAACTGGCAATCATGGCTTCCTTCAGGAGCGCCAAAACAATATCCTGTATTGAAGAAAAATAATTATTTGGTTACTAATAAGTAGTGCTTTAAAGGGCTCCATTTTTACACATGAACTTTAATGCTATGTCTTCAGGAACCATCATAACTCTGCTTTGCTTCAAGCAGGTCCCTTGAAGACAGGCCTTATTTTGCTAGCTTCCCAGGCAGAAGATAGTTTGCCACAAGGGAGGAATAGCTTTCCCTCAGGAAGTTATGTCCGGGGGGAAAGTAGCTTACATATCTAGGTACTGTCCTATTGCAATCCCCCCTTGGGCAGGGGTCAGGGAAGAGGGTTGGGGTGTGTGTGTTGTGAGGTGATAGTACAGTGCCTATAAGAAATGTAAGTGTGGTATGACGTGCAAGGGGCAGGGAGTTGAGGGATATGGGTGAGGGAGAACTCAGGGCAGGGGCATAGGATTCGTGGAGGGCTCAGGTTGGGATGTGGGATGTGTGGGGTGCAGAAATCAGTGCAGGGTTGGGCTGTGGTGGGTACAAGAGTTGGAGAAAAGGGGTTGGTAGGTGTGGGAGGCTTAGAGTGGGGGGGTGCAGGAGGGGGGACTCAGAGCTGGGGTGTAGAGGGTGCAGGAGGTTGTGG